GGGGGGAAGGGGAGCAATGTGTCATTTTCCCACCAATACACACATGTATGCAAAGCCATTTCTTTTAGAGTTTTCTGTCATATCCACGGGTTAAGTTAAACTTTGGGGGAGGGGTATAGGAGGAAGGGGTAGAGGGAGAAGGGGTAGAGGGGGAGGGGTAGAGGAGGAGGGGTAAATGAGGGAGGGGTAGAGGGGGAAGGGGTAGAGGGGTAGAGGAGGGAAGGGGTAAAAGGGGTAAAAGGGAAAAGGGGTAGGGGGGAAGGGGTAGAGAGGGGAGTGGGGCTTGCTGTTCATGAAGTTATGTCTGTAATTGAATAAAGAAACATAACTGGAACCCCATTCAATGCTTTCCCATTTCAGATCAGTCATCTATATTATTCCATTGATATTTTTAGAGTTAACTTTTAAGAAGTTACATAAATATAACTTCATTATAAAACATTCCTCAAATAAGATAGATGTCTATTGGATAAAAACAATTAAAGAAACCTCTCCATTCCGAGTTATCTACGTATAATTTCCATACCTGTTGCTCAATCGATTCCTCTTAGTCTGGACAACCTTGACTGGTTTGGATAACTTAGGCCACTTGGCAACTACAAGGATAATAACAATCAAGTTGAATTATTCACATTCCTGAAGGTAGTGAAACACTTCAAATTCTCTGTTGCTCAGGATTAGCCTTGATTTGATGTCAGTGAGTATAACACCATCGACTACCGGCTTAAAATCAGAGGTGTTTACTTTTGGATTAATTCTCAAGTGAGATGATGGTTTGAATCCACCATTACGTCATCAAAAGCCGCAAAATGACCCTCGTAAAGCTCCTCATGATTGTTGAAGTTATGCATCCTTTATTTAACTGTTGGAATTTGTGAATATTTTTGAAAACACTGATACGAGGCTAACCCTGTGTTAATGAATCTACAGTCAAGGAACACAGCGGTATTTTACTAAATCAAAAACAGTCTATAAGAGCATCTTCACTAAGGCAGCCATATTGGTTTACCAAACAATAGAAACTTTCTGCACAATTTTTGCATAAAAGTAGAGTTCAATTCCCGTAGGATAGAAAAATACATATAAATTGCTTTGCTACACCAACATGGCTGTTGTGAAGCTGTTTCGCAAGTGAAAATGCTCTATTGACACTGTACTAGCATCTCTAAAAATGTTGAATTCCTATTGGCTGCCCCCCTCCCAGGGATTGACATTGATAGACCGTATTTAAGAAATTTTAAATCTAGTAATATTTTTATTACCTGAAGGTGGAGCTTTATTTACATTATTCCATACAACTACAATCTGCAAGATATGTAATCATAATAAGTAATAAGATTTTTTTGAACATTTCGTTTCCACCACTATCTACCATAGAATCCTAATTACCCTTTACCCCGCTACCATCACCTACCTTCACAAGACTTGGCGTATCAGATATTTTCTTCAACACTTTGAACATCATGTCCACTCTGTCATAGGACAGTACCACTGCTGTGAAGCCTTGAGAATGTGGTGGGATGAGAGGAAGAAACAATGGTGGTAGGACTGTGTTCTGGAAAATAATGTAACAAACTGAAGTGTATTATTTCTGATTCAAACTTGTTTTCTGTAGTTTGATCCCTGGTCCCTTGAAGAGTACATGTATGCATAGGCTCTCAATGCTATGCCACCCATGCTTCCCTAGAAACTTGCTGCTGGTGGTACATGTATGACTAATATGTAAAAGGAGGGATGATTCTATAAACTTACTGTTATTTTGCCATCGGAGGTAGAAAAGGGTGCATTCCAGTCCTATGATATAAACAAGCAATCAAGCCATCTCATAACCACATTTACAGCACAATGTGCAAAACTATTACCACATTCATATACTTCTATGTATTAGCATATATCTATGCACATGCTTTCGTATGCTAAACTGACACATTTTAATGCAAAGCTGCCTGGTTTTACCAAAAAGGCATGTTAAAGCTTTGGCAGCAAACAGTCCTTCCATAGAAGTATGCGAATACATTTACTAATGTGTAATTCCAAAAATTATCCAACCCCCCCCC